AGATACGGGGAAAGAACCTGTTTTATGAAGCCGACAAGGCTGTACCTTACTTCAATAGCACATGAATTCATTGCATTTTATATCCGATGAAATGGGGCGAGAAAGAAATTGAAAGAAGTTTGGTGATTTTTCTCTGGTGCAGAAGCCGAAGAAACACGTGATGGTGGTGATGTAGAGTATGAGAACTTGTAATTTACTTTTGCTTTTTTTTAACTGAGGTTGAATTCTAGTACTACTGTTGGCTCCGTTACCAAGTTTTTCTGTCTATAATACTACAGAGGGAATAACAAGCAAGGGCAGTTACCTGGCACTAAGCTCAGTTCTGCTTTTCCCAGTGCTTTTGTCATTTGTGTCTCTATTTCCTCCAGTAGTTCATCCAGACTGACACTAGTGTAAATGCCAGACGATGACATCCATGCCGGGGGGATGTACCTACAGTAGGTACAAGATAGAAGTAGATCTTATTCTTAACTGTATTTAAGTATAAAGTAACTATTACTCATACATTACGGATTTTGATCCATGCAATAACAAAAGCTGTATCCAAAACAGGAGAAGGAATGGCATTCATAAACTGAATATGGAGACTACAAAAAAGTGCAAACCATCAGGGTGGATGAAAACCCAAATGAATAGTTCATTTTCAGATGAATTAGGCTGTATCACCGATGCAACTGATGAGGAACAAGATGACTTACCTTATGATGGAGATGTAGGAATAACCTGTAAATACAATAATAATTCAGATAATTTGAATGACTGTGCTTGTACAAAAGGTGGTTCTGGTATTTTAAACTTCGTCTGTTCTGAAGACAACAAAAACATAAAAGCAACAGCAAATTATGAAACTCATCCACGGCCTGAAGAATTCTCCAGTCACCATAGAGATGCCATAGGAACAATGGGAATTTCAGTTGAAACGCCTGGAAGTGAAGCTTCCTTTAAGAAGGAATTACCTGTTGGCAGTTTTAGCAAACTAGATAGCAAAGAACATCTAATTAACTCAAAAGTGTCCGATGTCCTTTTGCATCGTTTTTCTAAGGGAGAGTTAATAAGCACGTGCCAGTTAATTGAATGCGAGACAATACCGGAGACATCCTTTACTGAAAGTATCGATGACGCTGTGAACAAACCTGAGCCTTCAGAACACAAAGGCCCTTTAGCACATGAACAACGGGCAACGAACTTTGAAGAGTATCACTTAGAAAAGCACGAGGAAGTGAACACCAGTGATAAAAATCAAAATTTGCTAAATGGAAATCGATGTGTTTCAAAGAAACCCATTTCTTCTACTGATAAGTGTGGGTGCAGACAAGAAAGTTCACAACTGATGAATGAGAATGAAGATACACACATCTTTCAAAACATGAAAGAAGAGAGCACCCTGTTTAAGAAAACCGTTTCACCTCACGAGCTCAAATATGGCCAAGGTCAAGCTCACCGTTGCCTTCCCGACTTCTCCGAAGTCGCTTCAGAAGTTAAAGTACCAAAAAGAAGTGATGATATTAACTCAGTTCCTACAAAATCCTTCCCTGTTTTGCTAAGTGAATCAGTAATTGTGAACAACACTCTAAAAGATAAGAACCACTTCTATTCTGCTGAGGTAGAGAATCGAGAAGAAACGAGCATTCCAGAACTGTTGCAACAGCTAGAGGTAATCACGATGCTTTAAGAAATTCTTAATACTTGGTAAGGAGTGGTTTACCATAAGAAGATATTATGCATCCAGTAAAATCTAACATGACTATTTCATGCAGGCAGTCTGTAGCTATCAGTGAGCATCACTTTAGTCAACAATTGCTTTCACAAATAAAATTTTGTGGGACTGAGTTTATATGGAACTTACATTACCAAATATTTAATGATGCTCTGGAGTATTATTTCCAATTATAAAGCATCCTATCAAATCATTAGGAAATTCACTATAAATTGTTATTTCTAGTATTATATGTAAATGTCCAAATTAACCACAAGTACTTTAAATTGAAAGTTTTTCTTAAACGTATATTTTTATACTATGCCTGTGTTTATGTTAAAGGTATCTTTGCCTTTTTTCACATCTTAACATTCTTCAACTATTTATACTGGTATTTATTGACAAGTCAATTGTTTTTAAAGGATTTGTTTGACAACAGTATTTCTCTTACTGAAGTAAATTTCTTTCAAAGTTTGTTAGTAATTAGGTAATAACTTCTCAGTTTCGTGCCCTGCCATGGAGGTCACTCACAGAGCTATATACAAGTCCATTCCTAGATTTACATCTTAGTAAATCGTGCGAGATGTACTAAGTTTTAATAGTTTTCCCTATTATTTCCTGGCTGCAAACAAGATGCTGACACAGCATGCTGACACCCAGAATCACACTGACCATCTGAGATTGAATCCTAAGGTAAATATCTCAAAATGGATTTTTTTTTTTTTTTTTTAAATTCATTCTTCTGTATCTCTAGGACTATGAACATTCCCAAAACCTAATTTTGTCACCTTCATATTGTACTTCCCATTTATACAAATCCTCTTCAGATTTTCACAATATAGAGCTGAAATATTTAAGTACTTATACAATGAGATACTATACATATATCAAACTATAAACAGAGAAAATTATATGGTATTGTTATAATAAACATTTCATTAATATTAATAACTTCTCCTATGTATTTTGAGTTATTTCTAAATTTTTTGTTTATGTCCACAAGTGTTCTGTACATTGTTTCTATAACCAAAGTTCTCATTTTAACAGATACTTCCTCAGTCAGATTTTCCAAATGCCAGCATTGCCATTTACTCAGGAGACACTGGGACATCCTCTGAAGTCTTTACATTATGTGCTCCTATCCCTATACAATCTACATGTGGTTTGTCTAAAGCAAGTAAATAAAATTACAGTAACTATGCAAATTACTATTTTATGTCATTTGATAGCACTTTTGGGCAGACATTTTGGGCAGAAATTCCAATTGATTGATCTTATCTTGTATTATGTAGGATTACAGTGTGGAACAGCAGCATCAGCATTACCAGCAGCCGGTACAGCAGAAGCACACTGTCTAAATCCTTCTAATTTACTGCCAGAACTAACACTAGGAGAAAAGATGTCTCAAATACTAAAGGATCAGACAGATCAACTGATAAAGAAAGTAAAGAGCTCTGTTTCAATATATACTTTGCACTGATGCTCAAATTCTATATTCATTTGGCTTATTTGGGATTTTAAAAACAAATATAAGTCTAATATTTTGTCTTGAAGGTGGAAGACTTCTCTAAGCACATGACCCAAGAGGCATTCCTTTTACAAGACAACTATCTGGTAAACTAATTTATGTATTATCTGACATGCACTTTAAATGGCTGTAGACTCACAATTTTCTGGCAAGATACTCCATGTTTTCCTCAGACAGACATTTAAAAATACTATTTTTCTTAATCTCAGACATTATGAGTTTAAGAGGCAAAAATGAAGGTTTCTGTAGGTGGCTGAATTCTTAAATCTGCTTTAAGGATTACAACTCAAAAGTATTAGTGAAAGGTCTTAAGTTGCCATATAAGTTATGAATTTTGACATGTAGGGTATCAGTTCAGAAGTCATGGTTTAATATTTTACTTGTACGTAATAGAGCAGCACAGAGTACTAGGTGGACATACAAGATGCAGTCCTGTTCCAGTTCCAAGGAGTACCAAAATTCTTACCAACATCACTGCAAATAGCATCTGGCTTACCTGGCATAAGTAGCTATCACTATGGCTTGCTGTATCATAATGACATTTGCTATTGAATTATTTCTTATTGGTAAAGGCATTAAATCAATTGAAAAGATACCTTGATGCCTTGGAAAGGAATTACTTAACAGCTAGAGAAGAGCACCGTAATTTACAGCTGCAGAACTACAAGGACAAGTCTATCAACGTTGGAGAGTTTGATCCTGAAAGGTTAGAATTTAGTAGTACATCAGTATGTTTTCCATATTTTGAGTGTCTTACAACCATTACTTCATTTATCCATTAGAATTTTTCTGAAGGGAAAACATTATCTTGATGTTATATGTGGTAACCTAAAAGTTATTTGGCCGAAATTCATCTTGGGCTTTACATACCCTAGTTATAATTAGGATATCTAATGGATTAATTCAAGTACTTAAAATGGACTCAGTGAATTCCATTATTTTTTTTTTTTTCCTATGGGAAGTGCACTGCAATGCCCAATATGGTTATCATAGTAAGAAATAAAGTATCAGTTTCTAGAGGTTTCACTAACTGTGTATTGCAATTGGGTTTAGAAAGGTGGAAGGGGAAATATTTAGACTTGGCATGCTGCTTGAAGACATCCAAGAACAAACCGATGACAGCAAATGCAGCTTTTCTTCTTTGCTTACTTCCTATGAATCTGCCCATTCATCATATTCTCTTTGTGAGGTAACTCAATGAGTTTTATTATTTAAAGACTACAACTATGCTGTTTTACTGATGCCAGTCTCAAGAACCTCAGTGTGGTTGTACTATTGTATGTTTTCCTCTTATAACAGCATGACTCTTTCAGATGGCATGTTATTTCAAAGAAAATGTTTTGTGTTTTTTTTTTTCCATGAAATATTAACTTCATAATATTTCATTAATTAGAACAGAAACCTAAGTGTAAACACACAGCTACTCTGAATATTCTTAATCCCAGCTTCAAAAGCATTTATTTCAGAGTAAGAAAATATGAGCAGCTACTTTAACTTTTACAAAGCTGTCTTTGTTTTGGGGAATTAATCACTATCCTTTAGCTAGAAGAACTATTACTTGGTTTGTCCAAGATTCTTAAACTGCAGAATTACTAGAAGACCAAACATCATTGTGTTATAGAAAATTGAGTTTACTGCTAAATATGGTAATATTTTGTCCTGGATCTTAAATGCACACAAAAAAAAAAATCTTACAGCCTTCTACAAATCTACAGATAAGTATCACCAAATGCTTTCATAGTCAATGTTTTAGAAAACATTCTTCTCTGAATCCCAAGTTAGAGACACTTAGAAAATGCTGGCTGGTAGAAGTCATGTACTTGCAATGCAGTGACCACATACTACATCTATCTATGCTATGGTTATTTTGTACAGAGCTCAGTAGTTTCAAGCATTGCTGATCCTCCAGAAAGAAGAGGTATCGAAACTGCATTTCTTCACAAGAACAATGAGGGAGAAAAAAGTCAGACAACTGATGTAATCCCACAGACAAATCAATTTTCTTTAGAAGGCAATAAGTGCAATCTTTGTCTTCACACGTAAGTGAAAACTTTGAAACAGCTATTGAAGTTTATAGAATACTTTTATAGAATGCTATAACTACATACCCAAGAATTCCTTCCAGCCTGGCATTCTGACCTTTCTGGGTCTTACAGACCTCTAAGTAATTTCCTGAAACCAAAACACTACCATCAGTTTCACTAGGAGTTAAATCATACCTCTGTATAAAATTCATTGCAACCACACAAATTCAGGATGTGAATGACTAGTGAAAGTACGCTGCCAGTAAAAAATTATTTGCCCATATTTGTGTGGTATTTTTAATTAAACAAGGGAGGGATGCAAGTATTTACTTAATTAGCCATCAAAACCTTGTGAAACAATTCTAGATACCATCTCTGCTCTCCTGGGGAGCATTTCATAGGTGTTAATACTCTCAATGAGGTTAGAAAAATAAAATAAATGGTTTACCCCTTAACCAATTAAGGTTACAAAAGAGAGCTGCATCAACTTCCAGAAGAGAAACAGAGCCTCTGGGAAAAGGAGGTCTGCTAGCAAAGAAGCATTCTTCCAACATAATGGTACGAGATCTGTTTCCATACTCACTTTTTTTTTTTTTAAACTTAGATTGTCTTACTCAGTTTTGGGGCCACACAACATTTTTCTTTTCAGCTTTTGCACAGCATGATGGACAGCATAAAAAGTTTGCTTCTCTCATTAAAGGCTTAACTGTGTTTACTAGCCTGCCTTCATTATTTGTTCAGACAGCAAAAGCCTACAAGGAACTGCTTGCCTACAAAAACACTTAATTTTAAGGCATTAAGAGAAATTAATTCATATATACTAATCCTTCTCAAAGCAACATGAAAACCTGTCTTGAATTCCAACTTCACAGATGAAAAATTGCTCGTATTTTGTCCAGTCTGCTCTACCGTTAGAATTGTAAATAGATAAATTTTAGAGTTGATGGCAACTAAAAGCAATATAGAAGTGATATGCAAATGATGCCACTGTTTACGCTATCCTGTTTGATATGTAATACAGTTACGGATACACAGTAATATAAACCATCATATATAAATTTGTTTTGCCTTTTGGGTGCAACAGAGATTCCTTTCACCTGAGGAGAAATATGCTGCTGAACATCTTGCATCTCATAGTCAGGGTACATTAAGTCAAAAACTTGATGATGATGAAGAAAGTATGAAAGGGTAAGTGTATTATGTATTTTGGCTAGTCATAGACGTGGTTTTCTACAGCTAAGTGAACAGGTAACATGCACGTGCACTGATGTGTCTCTATAGTGGACTCTGCATGAAACACAGAAAAATTTCTTTAATACATATAAATGAGAGGATAACCTGTTTTCAAGTTTATCACCAGTTAATCGCATAAGGTATGTGATACACCAGATGACCAGAGAAATGGCAAAACTCCCATCAATTTTATTAAAGAGAGGATTGTATTCATATTACAAAGTAGCCCTTCTCTGTGAACTAGTATAAGGTTTATGATGCTTAAATGGCACAGAGTTATTTTAATAGTGTATTACGAGAAGAGGCTTTGTCTTTGTTCTCTATTCAGCAGTGCATGTCAGCATCCTGAATTGGGATGATTGCAAAGTGCTCAGCAATGAAAAATATTTGGAATTATCATTGTCATGAACTAATCTGGTAGGCCTGGAAGGAGAGCATATTGATACATCTGCATGTATTTCACGTGTAAGGGTCAATCTGTAAAGTTTCATTTACAGAAATGTCAGCATGATAAAATCATTCTACACGGGTTATTTTGGAGTTTGAAATTTTGGAAAATTAAATCTCTATCCAAAGCTAGATCTAATAATACATGCAGTATAGAACACAATAATATTCATCTAAATAACACTCGCAGATTATTTTACAGAGTAGATGTTAATATTTATTGAGTAAAACTCACCTAGCTTCCACTTTTTTTCCCCTCTGTCATTTAAAGAAAGTTAGCTCAATCTTCTGATCATTATTTTCATGAATGGGTGGAAAATTTGCCAAATAAATTTCACGATACTGTATGCCCTAAGTTGAAAATACATGTCAAATACGGCAAACAAGGAACTTTGTTCTTGTTCCATCAGAAGGTACATCTCAAATATTCCTCTAATTATCTAAAGGCAGTAAAATTAAAACCTTAATAGCTCGAAGTTGCTAAGGTACTACAAAACCGTATCATCCTTACCATTGATAACATTTTGATGCAACATATATGAACACATATATAAATGCATAGGATTTCATACTACTTTGCTATTCAGAGATGTGATTATCAAGACCTCTACTTTTCAGCATTTTTAACAGCTCTGGTAAGTCAGGGTCCTTTTGTCAGAATGTGTCCTTTAACTAAAGGGGTCATTATTTCACAATTGCTTAGTTTTTAATTTAAGCTTTACTTGCCACCTTTTCAGATAACTGATACGGGTAGAGTTCTTTCTATGAGTAAATCCAATTCCTCCTCAACTAAGAAGCGGTCAAACATTAATATAATATGCTCATGAGGCTTGTCATAAAGGTATTAAGATACAATTAAAATATCATTCTGTTTTCATGCTCAAAGAAATACAAACATCCAGGAAAGGAAAACTGGAACATGTTCATTCTTCATTCAGAGAAAACCAACTGATTTATCAGATACCAACCTGAGTAAGTAGTGTTGGCATACAAAGGTCAGAACTGTGCTGATACCTACTGTTGAATCCTGTTAAGAAATACATTCCTGTCATGTCTCAGCAGCATGAAAATTGTTTTGTAGTTTTAACAGATGTTACTGCTTAGCACAGGACAAGACACTAAGGATAAAAAAGGAGACTAAAGAGGACACCAAGTCAAATTCACTGTGGAAGTCTCGGTGACAGACCAAGAGAGAACAGACAAGCTGAAACAGGATTTTCAGTCAGATATCATCAAAAGAGTTTTAACTCTGAGTCTAGTCAAACATTGAAGCGGTTTGCCCTAGAGAGGCTGTGGCATCTCTATCCTCAGAGATATTCAAAACTCAACTGGACAGGGTCCTAAGCAACTTCATCTAAGTTGGTCCTGATTTGAGAGGGGATTGGGCCAGATGATCTCCAGAAGTCCTATCCAACCTGAATTACTCTATAATTCTAATTCACCTTTTTAACTACATTTCCAAATATTACTAACATCTTCAAAAGCATAACAGTGGAGTGCACACAATGCTTTGATTTTGCTTTTTCTCCTTATCACGTGCATTTATTTCATGTCCTAGAAGGAATTTCCAAACTTGGTGACTGAAACATTTCGTATCAGTACTTCCACTTTTAGTTTTTCAACTTTCTTATTCTGCATAAAAACAAAGGAAAAAAGTTCTCCTAAATCTTTGATCCGTTCAGGGTTGACACAGATTGGAAATATTCTCCTTCCTTAGTCCAGCTCCTAATAATGTAATTTCACTGAATCCAAACTAGAGCCCACACAGCCTACTGTGAGCTAGTGAAGTCAGCTGTCAAGTCATCCAAGACTCCAGCTCTTGGAGGTTCAGTAAGAATCTGTTGGCATTTATTTCTCTTGGGGCATTTCAATTTTATCTTTCCACTGCAGAATACTCTGGAGCTGTTAGTATCCAACAACTAAAAAAGAATAGCATAAGCTGTCCTACATTCAGTTTTAAGTCTGACTACGTAGTTATCCTTACCTTTGGTCTACCTTTTGTCTTTGGCTTCTCTGTGATATCCTTTCACTTTAATACACTGGGGCCATTATTGTTAGTACTGGTTTGTGCAATAGCTAAAGCAGTGCCATACGAAATCCTCCCAAATTCTCTTGTCACCTTCTTCTTAGGCTGCATTGTCTTCGTAACACTTCAACTTGTAGTAATTTTAACCTTCGAAACAAGAACCTAAAGACAGGGAGATGGAGAGCTTTTTTTTTTTTTTTTTTTAAAAAAAACAGTTCTGGGAGAAGAAACAACAACCACCAAAAAAAAAAAAAAATCTACATTTGAGTCTTACAGTGAGCCGTTCAAAACTTTTAACAAAAGCCAACTGTTAAAGTTCAATCCCCACCTGTAAAACAGAGGAAAAAGTACTTCTTCAATTTGCAGTAGTGTTAATGGTAGTGAAGGGCTCAGAAATTGTGATGCTGAAAGCCAAATAATTACCTAGGTACAGAGGCCAAAATATATAATGTTTCAGACCTTTTTAATGTATTTTTGGGATTTTTAGGCAGCGATTCAGAAGACATCTCAGCCTATGATTCTTATAACAATTCAGAAAGCAAGGAACTTGTGAACTGTGAGACCGAAAGTTACAAAACATTCAATACAAGATTATGCGGAAAGAGAAAAGGTATGATGATTGCAAAAATATTAAAATTACACAAAAATATTGGTTATAGTGTTTGTTTTTCTAAACAACATGTCTTTTCAGAACTTAGATGCAGACGCCCTAGAGGAAGCAGAGATCAATTTAAACTCAGGAATTACAAAGAGTCTGTTCAGTCTTGTGCCCTATGTAGAAATAAAAGTTCTGGTTCATCCTGTAAGTATGATGCATTACTGAAATAATTACCAATCACAGGCTAGATTTTAAGGGGCAGAAAGCCCCACTGCACATATCAGGCCAAATTTAATTTAGTATAAGCAATCAGTAGCACTGTAGCTAAACAGTGGATGTGTACAGATCTGGTAGAGCCAGATCAGCAAATCCAGCTTTTACACACCTGGCCAAGTTTAATCCCCATGCAGAATAGCTTTGACTTTCTCTGGTTCTTTATGAAAGGAGTCCCTTCCATATTTCATTTATGACAGGAATATCTCATTTTGCAGTGCCACATGGAAGAATATTAAAATTGGGCATTACTGTGCCAACTTTTTCAGTATTAGCCATTACCTAATGTAGAATAAACAAGTACTAAAGAAAATTCCAGCTCTACACTCAAATTGTATGACATGCAGCAAAGTCAAGGAAAGCCTAATCTAAAAAAAAAAAAAATTAAAAAATGTTGAACGTCTAGCTTTTAAAGTCACTTATCTCAGACTCCTCTCTATACTGTAGGAAGAAATTGCATGCAAAAAAATATAAATTTTCAACAGTGGGAACAAAGTATAAATTAGCTACTTCTCTCTATAAATACTGTAGAACTATACATCAAAGTAGTATTCATGTAATTATTAGGATCATGACAGTCTGATTATTCTACACTTTCCCCCTGCAGTCTTTCACTGTACGAAATGCAATATAAATCTGCATACCATTTGCCACAGAACTAAATGCAACAGCAAACCCAAAAAGGTTAATCTGTCCTCATTTACAAAAAATGTTAAACATATTCAAGTTTTATTCAGCAGTGATAGTTATTTGATTTTTTTATTTATGCTAAATAGATAAAAAATATTAAATACACAGAAAATTACTTTTTTTGGCTTTTGTTTTAAACATGGCCTCAATGACTCCAGCTTATTCACAGAAGAGACTCTCCACTCAAAAGGCTCAAAAAAATAAACAGCTACATGAACTTGTAAACAGACTTTCTGAAAGGTAAGCTGTAGCAATAACTATATGTAATACAACAGAAAATGCCATTGTTGAAGATTCAGCATAGAAAAAAAAAAACTCACCAGTATCATAACCAGGAGGAATGTTTTATCTTTTGCAGTGCATGCTGTATATTAGAATTTTACTCATTAATGAAATTAAAATATTTACCCTAAGACCAAGTGTAAATAATTCTTAGAGTAGTTCTTCAATCTTTCTAATTTAATGGAGAGTAAACATCTGACTTCTTTAGCTGACACATTTAGCAGTAAAAAACAAAAAAGTAAAAAACTGTGTTTTACAATTAAATGAAAAATTCTACTCATTGTAAAATTAACTTGCAACTGAGTATGCTATCAAGGTGTATATATTTAATTCATAGTTTAGAAATTCTTTTGCTTACTAAAACTGTTTGTATTTTATTCCATATATCTTATCTTTAGGCAAAATTTTGAGGCTGCCAAAACCTGCTATTCAAGCACATATGATAAAATTATCCTTTCACATCAATACTTACCCAGCAAGAAGTCTGCCCAAAGCAAATCTGCAATCAACATCAGAAACAGAAATGCCAATAATTCCAATGCAAATGTAAGAATTTAGAGTGAAAATTAAAAGCCACACAACTATCTCAGGAAGAGTACATCCCCATGTCATGGCACTCTCAGCAAGTTGATTATTAGTCTAAGCATGTCTGGTCCATTTGAGAATAAGACAGGAGGGAGTTAAAAAAAAAAGGAATTTTAGCTTATAGATTAGTATATTACTTCATATGAGTATGTTACAGACTTTTTACGCAACTTAGTCCCTGTATAAATGGTGAAAGAGACAGAAAAGGAGCACTGGATCTTACCTCTAGAATTATGTTTCAGTACATGAAACAGAATGTCACCCTAGCCATACAAACTACTATCAAAACCAAAAGAAAACCTTCTCAATACCACAAACATGCACCACACTGAGGCTGCTACTTTAGAAAGGTGTAAATATCCCTCAGTTCAAAGGATTACACAGTCAAACAGAGAAATAAATAACAGATACTTCCAACGTGAATCCTGGAGCAGTCTATCACATGACTCAGAATTTTTACTTCTCAACATGTATTCAGAGTGAAAATGCCTCATAGGACATTAACATTAAACATCACTTTCTATTCTATACCTATGTAAACATTTGCCTTCAGTATTAACAAGGCTATATTTTATTATTCCCAACAGATTTTAAGTTCTACTCTGGATCATGCCATACAGACAGCAAACAGTTTGAAGAAAGCTACAGAACGAATGGTACGAGCAGTTTCAGAAGACCTAGCTAAAGTTAAAAGAAAACAGCTTTAATTACCCAGTTTCAAATGCTATATTGTTTTGCTGGTTGAAACTGACATGTCAGTATCTCTGCAAATATAAAATGATAAATACAAAGACAGGAAAGTCAGCTAGCTGACTTTGCCAGCTGCTCTGTAACTATCAGTACTAAACCAAACCAGAGCATATTGATAGTCACGTTTACACTCAGTCTCAGAACTGGAAAACAAATTACTAATTCTACTGAAAAATCTTTATGTTGGCTAACCCATTACTGCATACAGCTACATTCTCTAAGCATTTACTTAATAAAAGTTGGCTTCACAGCCTCATAAAAATTGGCTTAAACAAGTAAAGTTAACTTTTTGACTTTTGATTTTCCCCCACCCCCAAATAGAAGAATACATCTCAGTCATTACTACATGTATTTTCTTCTCACACCTTAACAGCAGCTGCTTAAGCATACCACAGGGTAACAGCCTCTGCACCCGAGACATTTATAAGCATCACGCTGACGTACCAAGTCATAGTTAATGTATGTAATTATTTTGTTTTTAGCATGGCCTACATTGAGAGTTGTTTGTTTTTAAGATATTTCCTTGCATGTCTCAGTAACTGAGTAACACCATTTGTTGTCTCTGTATTCCTAACAATTAAATTGTCTGTTTCTTCAATGTGGTGTCCTTACCTTGTCAGATACACCTGGCTTTGAGATTTTAGCTGATGGTAAGTAGATTGGAAAATTTTAAAATATTGTAGAAATACAGTCGGCCAAGAAAAGTCATCTATTATTTTCCTTCTGAAATCCATTTAACTGCAGTGATTAAAAGCAAGCAGACAGTTAACAGCCTTGTATTATCAGGGATGCTATTCACTGAAGCAATTCCAAAGTATATAGGGACTGATGGAAATCAAGTTAGAAGTGACAGTGCATTGCTTAAAAAGGACAGTCATTTTCAGACAGACCTGAGTGGTTTCATCAGTTGATGGATACAGAGATAATCCAGACTCTGTTTACACAAGCAGTGATAGCTAAACTTGCTGCTGCATACCACTGATGTACTAGCCTGAGTCAGTGGCTTTTTTCAGGGCTGCTTCTGCACTTCACAGCCAACAAGACCATTAACCTTTCTGTTCTCCCTTAGGCTCTTACTGTATATCCTTATAACTCGATTTGCCTCTGCTTATTATCCATGTTTTTGCTTTATTTAGCTTAAGACAACAGCACAGTATAGTGAAGAGCTCACACCCCTGTGCTAGATTAATGTTTGGAATGTCCCTGTTATTACTTTGCAAATGAACTTAATAGTTCAAGTAATCACTGTATGCTTCCTAGGTCCAATAAAAAAAAAAAGATTAATCTCTTCCATAGAGATCTTTCCACACCACAAGAACAGCTAGACCTTTTGTTTATCCTGGGTCACTGTCTGAACCTGCTGTCCTGGGCCTGACACCAAATGCCTAAGAAAGAACATATTTAGTAAGACAAGCACGTAGTGACATTTCCTCAGAACATTCTCTAGCAAACTGAAAGCTCAAGAGTCCTTCCAAATCAGTAGTAATATCTTTATATTTAATAGCCCTACTGAAGATTTTTCTTTCACGTATGCTGAGGTTTTTTTCCCCCCTCATATAACAATTTAAAGCGTGTCATTACTGCACAATGTCTCAGATGCTGCAGGTCCTTTTGTTTTGAATTTGACAACTGGAAGTTTCCTGTGTTACTTCACGCACTGAATAGGAAGGTAACATGTCTGTTTCTTCAGTCTGCACACTAACATTTTTGAAGCCTCCATCCCATACTCCTCCATCACCTTTTTTTCCTCTTGATCAAGGATCCTATTCTAGCCATTCTTGACACTGAAATTGTTCCATACCTTTGATTTTCCTCTTAGTCATCTCTGAATCTTGTCCAGATTCAACTTAAGAAATAAATTGCGCTTGGAAATATAGATCTTTATTATCTAGGGTAATCAGACCAACATCTGTGCTTATGTGAACCTGGGCCGCACGTATGGACTAGGTATCTATTTTAAGATGTATAATGTGAAAACAGGAACTTTCAAAGTTGTAATATACCTTGTACACGTACTCTAAAATATTAGGGTTTGGGGGGGAGACGTTTATCTTGATACAACTCTCTCCCATTCTTGATCTTGATAAAACAACTCTTGATGTAGAAAAGAAGTAGCTGAGAAGATCCTTGGGAAAAAAAATAAACACCTTTACAAGAATTATTTCCTGCCCCCTCCTTCACAAGCTTCTGTAAGAAATCAGGAGCTGTTCTGGGCTACATATTGCTGTTAGATTTCTTATCTTAAAGCATCTCTATTAATCCACCTTTATAGTAACGTTTGGCTTTGCCTTCTGGAAAAAGGAGGTGATGGATTCTAAAACTCAAAAGTCTTAGTCTTGTATTTATCAGCTATCAAATTTTGAGCTTGGAAAAAGCCTAACTGGTGAATGTGTAAAAGTAATCCAACATTTCAAGCTCGTATTTCTTCAACTCTGTGCAACAAATAAACATCAATACAATGGATTTTATATACTACTGAAATCAATTATTTCAGTCCTTAAGTCGGTCACTTTGATATCAGTTGTTTTGTTCTGTACTTATTGCTTTTAAGCTTTGGAAATTGGAAAAAAATTGCAACTACATACAGCTTTTACACTGACTTGGGTTCTTCTTGCCACAGTGTGAGGACTATATATAATTTAAGTGTAATTGTTTAATACTGATTTCAAAGTGTGCATCTTTAGCAAGAAAATGTTGAACACTACGTTCCTTAAAGATGTACTTTTACTCTGGATTTTTACTGATGTTTATAGTTAGAAACTAGGATTCAGAAAAACGTTATAGATATTTCTGCTAAAAATTTTTTTTTTTAATTTTGATACACATGATGTTTGATGAACCAGTTAAAAAGGTGTTGTTCCTGTACTCCTATTGAAAATAAACTCAGCATACATTAGATGCCTAACTCATGTAGATGCATTTGAAAGCTACAGCCACTTATCCTCATGATGCCCCATGTCCTGCAACATTTTAGAATCATTACATTATGTTCACCAGTTTCACTTCTGATGTAGGGGGGGAATTTGACCATTTTCCACCTTCTAATTAACTTAGAATGAACTTACCTAGCAAAAGTGTTCTCTTAACCTCCTAGTTAACCTGAGTGCAAAATTAAAGGAAAAGAAACAAAACCACCTTTCTGCAAAACAAAAAATTAATACCCTTACAGTTGGGAAAAATGTAAATAAAAAGCCATGAGTAATCGATTCTTTTTCATTATGACATTTCTCTCAGATTCTACATACAACAAACTAACATTTCAAGGCACATCAATACAACATCCCTTTAAGAGGTTAGTAATTTTAATTACTTAGGTAATTTTCTGAGACAAATCTGAACATTACCAGTATTACAGAATTAATACAATTTAGAATTTATTTGATCCCCTTCAACACAAATTTATGTATTTCTTTCTTAGTATGTAACAAAGTAGAAGAAAACAGTAAATTTTCTTGAATGTATCGTGTTTTGGTGTTTGGTTTGCTTTTTGCTTTTCTTTAAGTTACCAAGCCATTTGAAAGATTCAGCTGCTTCCCTTCTTTTCCTCTCCTCTTCCCCTGCCCCCACTCCCTCAATTTTATGAGGGAGAATTTATGCTTAAAGTTTTGGAACTTCTATATCACACAGGCAATTCAACTTCTAAAACAGATGGACTATGTAGACACAATCATAAGGAAGTTTGTAAGAAATTAAGGTTTTTTTGAAAAGCTTTAGTAATAACCCCTGCATATACTTAAATATAAAGTGTACTTCAGTGCACAGTTGACTGCATTTCTCCAAAGTTATTTATTGAAATTAGAACTGCTTAGTACTTCCGTGATTAACTTTCTGCCTTACCCACCACCATCTAAAAAAGCCTTTTGATTCTTCACAACTAAATATATTTAAAGAATTTTCAGTGAGTTACTTTACAGAAAATATTACAGTTTAAGACACCGCACTTCTGTGAAATATTACCATAAACTCATATTTACAAATTTTCTTCTGAAGCCTCTACCTAAGAACCTAGACCCTTTTTAATTCAGTCATTTTTAGAAATAAACTCTATTATAGAAAGGTTTCACAGTTCTCAAAGACAATTCCAGTTTATATATAATCACGATAACTTTTAGCATAATTTCTTAGGAACGCACACTTTTGGAAAAGCACTTGCAGTGTAGCACTGCCCATACTAAATGCAACCTAAGAAACACACGTGTGTTGTTTTTTTCCTCTCTCTGCCTTCTACTCCCCCAAAAAAGCAGCAAATTTAAATTATAAAATGACATTCCATTAGTCAGAACCATGTAGTGCCCTGGTACAGTATTTAGAAAAGTCAGTTCCATAAGAATATTTACATACTATTTGTCTTTTCCTAATTCATCATAAACATCACCATTTCTATTCATCCTTAATGCAGACCATATCCTTCGGCTTATTAAGGCTCTTCACTTCATCCAGTAGTCTTTTAGGTGTCAAAATATGAGTAGAACCTGACAAAAGAACATAAATATTAACTGTATCAGTCTGAAATTCTGACTTGCAGACATTACCTCTTTAAAAATCAGTTACATGCCAGTGTTTTTTACTGTACCTGGAAAACTGAAAAGTACAACAGTGCAAAGTGTTTTCACGTATTATCATATAAAGTGTCATCGTATAAATAGAAGTGTCACCATTAGGTGGGCAGTGCCCCTCTTCCACACACTGAGACATCCACACATTCAGTTTAGGACTCTTTCTTTGGATACAAGTTTCAAGTCCCCGCTCTGCCCAGTTTGAAACACAGGCTTGAACCTGGGCCACTTTCGCTGTGTGCAATTGCCCCAGCCTGCAAGAAACCTGCCTGTTCTGTAAAAGGGTGAGTTAATGACAGGCTTTATCCTAGAATCAAGAAACCATCTGGATTAAAGATTATCACAAACAGTAGTCTTCCACAGAAATATCAGTTACAGAAAACTGGCTTTTACTGACTAAC